TCACTGTGAAAATACCTTCTTTGAATGATATCTTTCCATAACCAAAATATTTTCTCCTTCTCTAATGAAGGTTCATTTGCAATTTAAAGAACTCGTGCCCTCGATAAGTGGTTCAATGAAGTCGAAGCAGTTCTCAAAAAGGACGAAAATATAGCACTTTCACCAATATACAAGTCAATTTGTTTGCTCGACTACCAGTGCGATCAATGCCATCGACAGTTACCACAACGAACTGATAAACAATCTGAGCAGTTGAAGACATCTGATGATCTGCGTTTAAAACTTATCGATCTCTTCCATAAAGGTCCTTGCAAAAACCGATATTTTATGATGGATCTGGATTCGGGTTGGGAGGAACATTTCGGAATGAACTATGTCCACAATAATTATAACGAAGCTTCAATATGTTGGTAAAAGATGAAGTTTTGATAGTAACTAAATTCCCAGAACATACAATAAAGTAGGAGAAAATTTGAATGAATTCACTTGATCCTTACAATTATGGTGTATGAAGATTGAATCCAGTGATAGTTCAGTGTGTATTGAACAAAACGATTCCGGAAAGGCAACTACTCAAGATCGTACGCTGTCAAATGTTGCCGATGTGCTGGCGTTTATGGCCAGTGGCCGAGGGGGTCTACGCACTGGACCGGCAGCAAATCGTGCCTTTGCATCAGCTATTGAATTGCTTAAAGACGTAAGGAACATCTTTCATACGAGCAATTGAAAACATTCCTTCCAAAGAATTCATTCTGCATTTCACGGTTTGATCCAGTTTCCCAGCAGCTCCTTCCACATTCCAAAAGTCAAAATTGCTTCCCATGGTTTCATTTTGCTTCCCAGAAATCGAAATAACTTGACTGGATGTGTTTTTTTGTAGAAATTGTTTTAAGGAGGATTCCAGGCGACTCGGAATTCAAGCTATGCGCAGAGAGCTGACAAACTGGTTACAAACACCTGAAAAGTTGATTCGTGCAGGTATGATCGTGTGCGATTTTCCGTTTGATCATTGAGTTGAACATGAGATTTTTTCATATTCATTCTGTCCATTTGTTAAGTTTGAGGTTTGAATTCGTTTGAGGTGTCTAATGTAAGTCATGTTTAAGTGAATTTGGTTGAAACAC